AAGAACGCCTGCCCCTTCTGGGCCGGCTCCTCGGTGAGTGCGGGCGCGGGCCCGGTGCTTGCAGTTACCCCTGCTGCCGGGGCAGAGCTCTCCGCGAAGGCGGTGTTGTCCGGAAACGCCTGCCGGTACGCACTTCTTTAAAAGGCAACCGCGAGCTTTTCGTTACGTGGCGATAACGCATAGCTACGCTCCTGCGGACGGTCTCACTACGGGGGCAGCGTGAACCCCGACAGGGCAATCAGCAAACGTCCGGGCAGCTAGCTCGGGCCGTTGTTTTCTGATGTGCGCTTTCTCCTATGAAATTGTGCTCAAGTACTACATGCAATCGGGAGGAGATTTTTTCTCCAGCAGTGGGGCACGTACACGTGTTGTATATTGAGATAGATATAAAATAGTAATACTCCTGGGGGAAAAGTAAAAAAACCACAGATGGGAGTAAGACTGTTTTATAAAGCGCAGCGGGAGGTTATTCCGTCTCCTGTTGGATTCTGCTTTAAACTGCAACTTTATAAATAGAGAATATGTAACAACCTGTGTCATGGTACTAAGCAGAAGCAAAATTAGTAGAAATAGAGGATAGTTAGTACCTTTTGGATTAGTATGCAGGCTTAAGAAAATACAGCAAAGTGATTAAATGTGTGGGCCCTTGGGCAATAGCAAGTAATGTTCTGTGGCTGACATGCTCTGCTGCTGCTGGTGGTCTTAACAGTATCAGTGCAGCCTTTGGTTTTAATTTTTATACTAAGTTTGCAATGTTGCTCACAACCTATGGAAAAATGCTCAAGGATATGTGGTTTGAGGATCAAATCATTTTATACCCATTTATATGTATAATGAAATACTCATCCCAAAAAGTATACATGACCTTAATGGGGGAAAACAACCTAAACTTTCCAAATGTGTATGCTGAGTGTCTCTCTTGTCAGTTTTCATCTCATTGTGACTCTAGATTAAAACAAATTTATTTAAATATATCTAACCTATGGACTTCCTTACAGGTCTACACACAAAACCATGTTTATGCTTTTGAAATGTTTTAAAATTACTCCTGCAAAATATAATCAGTCTCTCTTTTAAAGAGAAAATACCTTTACATTTTTAATACTAGCTCTGAAATAATAATATTTGTTCAGGAAAGATTTGGTCAGGAAAAATTACCAAAATTGCCAAACTACATTTTCAAAAGGTGCAACAATGTGAATGAAAAATGTTAGCCCAGAAACATCTTGGAAAGGCATAGGAAAGGTATTGAAAGTTGGAATTGAAGATGTATCTGTTTTCTTGTTTTAGATGCAACATCCTGATTGTGATGCACTGATAAAGTGATGAGCAGGACAACTTTGAGAAAAGCTTTATTTTCTTATATCTTAAAGCTTTAACAGACATACTAAAATCAGTCTTACTGTCCTTGAGGCAAAACACCAATTCACATCAGTATTTATGTACTTTATTATAAAATCATGTGACAATTTTGCACTCACAGAATTCAAAAAAATATTTTGTTATGAAACTGCAAAGTTATGTATGCGGTTTTGCAACACCAGTGGTGTTTTGGCCAAGTCATATACACGTTACGCTAGACCAGTTAATCATGTCAAGTTAATGAAGTTATAGAAGGGATTTATTGAAAATGCTAGTGTGCAACTTCCTGTTTGTTCTGGTGTTCTTGTTTCATTTTGTAGTAGGAGTTTGGTCAGGACTGGCCCCCCACAAAGCCCCCCACATGGGGAGTATTCCTCCTTGTTTGAGAGCTTGCTGAAAAACTGACATGCCTTTATTTCAGGTTTCCATCCTTCCGGGGGGAGGGTACTTAGGTATGTCGCTTGCTTCAGTTCTACAGCAATGCTTTCTCCTTTTCTTGTTTTGCCCTAAAGTTATAGGGTACAGTTATGTGATTCAGCAAGTTTGATCTAACAGCTAACTGCTGCTGAAGGGGATGCTTCTACTTTGTCCTCTCTCCTAACTATAACACTGACACTCACCAGGCTTCATAATGAGTCAGTTCACAGAGGTAGGTTTTGTTCAGAAAACTCTTCAATTATTTTGGTTGCGTTCATTCTCTAGGGTTCATTTCACTGAAATGGTCAGAGGAGGGCCCAAGTCAACACAAGGGAAGCGACAGAGATGTGTAGTTGCAAACTCAAACAGCGTGGTGGAAGCAGGTGACCAAGAGTGGAGAAGGGATAGCCACTGGTTAGATTTGCTTAGCTGTATTACAAGAAACACGTCCTCAGTTGGCTGAAAGTCTTATTTTTCAGGTAATTAATGAGGTGGGAGCTGCTGGCATAGCTTTTCATCTTCATGCACATTTACTGGGATGAAAATAATAAGAGAACAGTATATTAAAATATTAGTTCTGATTATGGGATTTGATATGATGCTCTTAGAAGTGAAGAATTTTATCAGTACAGGCTCTGTTTTTTTGCTTTAAAGTGCATCTTCCCAGCTTTTCTTTAGCACTCTGAAGTACCTTTCATCATAGGAGTGGTAAATGCCACGTAGCTGGAGTTTTGTGAACAGTTGTTTGCTTCATTGTAATGCTATGTTTTCTGATGTTGCAGGTAATCTTATCGGGAATCATAGGCTTAACAACATGGAAGAGACCAATGATACTTTTGGTAAGGATGGATTAAAATTTATTGTAAGGGGAATTGCCAGAAGATGCTTTTGATTTAATAGAGTCATTAGCAAAAAAATAAGTTCTTTCTTCTTGGAAAAAAAAAAAAAAAAACTATACTGTTGAGTCTATTTGGAGACTGTAGAATCATTATTGTTGAAAGAGAAGTCAGAACTTGCAAAAGGTTGTATCATTTTTTGTGAGGACATGGACTCTGTTAAGGGCAAAGGAGAACTGTACTTGGAGGAAGTGCTAATGTTTTTTATGGAGCACTTTTTGTGTTTATGAGAAAACACTCACAATACTTTAGAATAAATAATTCAGCTCTTTGAGACAGTGCTTAAGCTTAAATAAGGAAATTGGTTTGAAATCAGTTATATTGTGCCAGTGCCTGACAGCAGGTTTGAGAGCTAACGTTAGCAGTGCAGTATTACAGTATCCAATGTTGTTCTTTCAAATACACTTGATGTTACATTGTTCCAAGAGAAGTCTTGATATGTAAACTGTTGCTTTTTGTAAGTGGGATCTAAAGCTGTGTGGCTTTCAACGTCTCAGAAATGGGATTTGAAAAAAGGATTTGAATTTTTTTTTTTGTCATGCTGTCACTTCTTAGACTTTTTCCACAGCAAAGTAATTGTTTTATTTTTATGTGATGCTTCTTGGTGATCTGTGAAGTACTGTAGCTCTGCTAAGCGCCACGTGGTCGTCAGTGGATCAGAGATGTGAGCTCTGGATGAACTGCTCTTTCTCAACTGAGATGATACTCATTGATGGTGCACTGGTTACCACCGGCAGGAGCAAAACAAGTTTTTTATACTGGCTCTGTGGATAAGTAGAGGAGGTTGGTGTCTGGGGCTGTCAATACGGTAGTTTTTACAAGCACCATATTTTCATGAAAATAAATATAAATGCCATCAATCTTGAACTGGCTCAGCCCGGTAAGGTGCTCAGTGTTTCTGTATTATTTATGTTCTAAACTATTCCTACAGCATTTTGCTGCTGTTGTCTTTTTGTCTCTTACTTCTTTCTCTTTTTCCGTTCTCCTTTGTATAAACTTTGAACTTATATGTAAGCTTTATGGGTCCTTTCTAGTTTTACCTAAGGAATAAACTCTTCCTGATCCTTTAATTTGTGTGAAAATAATCTTTAGGGCAGTCAGTTTATGTTTCCTGGAAAGGTTGTGCAGCAGTTGGTTTTTGAGACCAGATAAAGCCCTGAGTGACCTGGTCCGAGTTCAGCGTTGACCCTACTTTGAGCAGGAGGTTGGACTAGAGACCTCCTGAGGTTCCTTCCAACTGCAATTATTCTGTGACTGTATGATTCTATGAATTGAACTTGTATTTTTTCTTATTGTTGTATGTATTTTGGAGAGGTCTGATTTCTGAGACTTAGGTTATGAAGTTAAAAGTGCAAAAAAAGAAATCGGCATCAGTGAAAGTTGTTAAACAGTTTATAGAGCTGCAATAAAGTAACAATCAAAGGGAGTCATACATAGAACTAACTACAGTTTATCAAGGAAAGATCATTAGTGTCTATGAGACTATTCATTCTGGGTTAGATTTCTAATATATCCACCCTCTAGTAGTTTCAACTTTTTTCTTGGAATCTGTGACCTCATAAGTTGTAAAAACAGGTTTTCCTAAAGGCCTAAGCTATGATATAGCATATACAGCAAGGCTTAGAATTACCAAATTCATTACTAAAAACTAGAAATGTATTTAGTGTTGATACATGCTCCTTTTTCAACCTGTGACTGCACCCCCACCTTCTTACTCCTTATGCAAGGCTCCCTCGTAAGTACACTTCTAATGAATTCTTCTCCCTAGATTTTTGCACTGGGTCACATTTTCCCTAGCCTGTTCAGAAATAGCAGGCAGCCACTGCCCTTTTATGAAGGAAGCAGAGATCACACAGCTGTCTTCCCTACATGCCTTGATTCAAGCAGGTGCCAGGTGTGCTGATTGCCTTTGTTTAGCAAACAAGCTTTGCAGAAACGATTGGTTTCATATGAAAGTGATTTTACAAGATTGCTATAGAATCTAGATATTTAGCATATGGGGAACCTATGCCGTTGCTGTTCCAGAAGTCTGAGGAGTCAGGATTATCCCAAGCACATATTGTGAATTACTGTGTTTTGTATTGCTGCAATTTATGTCAGCATTTTGCCATCTATATGCATTGACTTTGAGCTATATTTAACAGTTACAGCGTAAATTTGTGGGATCAACAATGGTTGCTATTCTTTTTCACATGCAGTTATGTCTTACTCTTCAGATGCTCTCATATTCTTAAGCAAAGGCCTCTTGTCTTTGTTTCTATGTAGAGCTATTTTCAGTTGCTCAGTTCAGCTTCTTAATTTCTTCAAATTATGCACTCTAAGTGCCCTTTAGAATTCTCCATATGCATATAAGCCCTCAAAATAGCTTTATTTTCAGCCCAAATTAGGAAATTATATATAGATTTGTATTTGCCTTGGTGTACACTAAAAGCTGTCAGATGTAGCAATTAGACTGTAAATAAGTGTAGACATTTGGGTACCATCCTCTTGCTCTCTCTCCTTTCAGGAGTTGGGTTTGATCGTAATTACAGTGACTCTAAGTGCCACAGAATCTGGCCACGAGGACGTGCTGTTCCTCAGAGCAGTCTGTGGTAGGTTTTATTCTTATGAACATGATAAAGGTATTTCATGTTTTCTTCTAGTATCTCTTTTTTTTTTCTTTTAACTGCCAGTTTGCAGTACTTAGAGAATTTTATTTAAAAAGTCACATTTTTTCTTCACTTCCTGTAAAAAAAATTCTAGTTGTTTCTAAAAGAAACCTGTTTGATACCCTGATTCAGGATTTCAGAGACCTGTCATCTCTGAAATCTTTTGGAATACAGCTATTTGCCTACAATTCTTTTTTACTGCAGTAACATAGTTCCTCCAATAAAAAGATGGACTCTTTGCTTACAGAATGTTTCTCTCTGTCTTCACCCTTTAGGTAATAATTTCTCACTGCCTTTGTTTATTCTTTGTGACCAGCCAAACTGTCCTGTTGCTCAGAGTCTTGCCACAGATGCTAGGCTGGAGGAGATTAAAGGACACCTGCAGCTATTTCTAAGGGTCATCAGCTTATCAAAAACCATGTAAAAAAGCTGCAGCCAATATTAGGAGGAGGAGGAGGGAGGGAGGAGATTACTTGGAGAGAAGGGGAAGACAGCTGTCACTTTCAATCCGAATCCTTGCAATAAAAACAGTTAGGTTGTTTTTTCCTTGACTGTAAGTCTCTGATGGTGCACAGATCAGGGGAAAGCACAGCACTGCCTTATCAGGAGAGAAGGACTGGGAAGTGGCTGCAATATCAAAGGCGGAGAGGGCTTGTTAGTCTTTTCTGCTGGAAGAGAGAAAGGAAAGGGAGAGCAGTTAGATACAACTGGTGACAGCCTTAGTACCACCAGTCACAAGAAGAGACCAGTCTTGAAGAGGGTAGACTGTTATAAGACCTGCTGTTAATAAATAAAATTTGAGGGCCATGTTTGTCCTTTTGCACCACCCAGGCGGTAGCACAATGTGGGAAGACAGTAAGTAAATAATAAGTCCCAGAGACAGAGCAAGACAAAACTAAGTTGTAATCAGTTCTTTTGAAGGATGTTCTTGCGAGGTAGGCTTTGCTTTCAGTCATCTCCTGAGAATCCTTGGCACTCTGAAATCTTACCTTGCATTTTCTTTCCAGAGGTTTTCTGATCTGGGTATCACTTGTCAAGCTACTTTGGAAGTCAGTTTGTATCCTGAAGCTGATTTTTCTTCCAGAGGAGAAGTTTCCTCACTAAGGGGGCATGCGCCTCTTTGCCAATAGCCTGGTAAGGAGGGCTTTAAACTAGGAAAGATGAGGGAAAGGGAGAGTTATAGAGATAGGGTAGTCAGTAAAACACTGCTCAAGTCAGGGTGCCTCAAGTGGGTGCATGCCTCCAAGGGAATCAGAAGAGGACATGGCTATGTCCTCTTGCACCTGCCCTGAGAAGCCTGCACGCTCGATTACCTCTCTGAAATGCCTGTACACCAGGGCGTGCAGTATGGGGAATAAGCAGGAAGAATTAGAGGTCTGTGTGCAGTTGCCAGGGCCATGATCTCGTTGCAGCTACAGAGACATGGTGGGATAGCTCACATGACTGGAATGCTGTCATGGACAGCTATGTGTCTTTTAGGAAAGAGAGGCCAGGAAGGCGAGGTGGTGGAGTTGCTCTTTATGTGAGGGAGCAACTAGAATGTGTGGAGCTCTGCCTAGGGGTGGATGAAGAGCAAGTGGAGAGCCTATGGGTAAGGATTAAAGGGCAGGCTAACATGGGTGACATTGTTGTGGGGGTTTACTACAGGCCACCTGATCAGGAAGAGGAAGTCCATAGGGCCTTCTACCGACAGCTGGAAGTAGCCTCGTGATCACAGGCACTAGTTCTCATGGGGGACTTCAACCCCCCTGACATCCGCTGGGAAGACAACACAGCTAGGCACGAACAGTCAAAGAGGTTCCTGCACAGCACTGATGATAACTTTTTGGCACAGGTGATGGAGACGCCAACAAGGAGAGGTGTGCTGCTGGACCTTGTACTAACAAACAAAGAAGGTCTGGTTGGAGATGTGAAAGCTGGGGGCAGCCTTGGCTGCAGTGACCATGAGATGGTGGAGTTCAGGATCCTACAAAGAGGAAGCAGGGCAATGAGTAAGATTGCAACGCTGGACTTCAGGAGAGCAAACTTTGGCCTCTTGAGGGACCTACTTGGAGGAATCTCATGGGGTAGGGCCCTAGAAGGAAGGGGGGATCCAGGAGAGCTGGGACATGCAGGGATGTGACAAGGAAGGCTAAGGCCCA